AGTATATATAAGTATATGTGTGTGTGTGTGTGTGTGTGTGTGTGTGTGTGTGTGTGTGTGTGTGTGTGTGTGTGTGTGTGTTGCAAAAGTTGAAGATAGTCGTTTCTCACGTGTCTCTTTCGCAGGTTTACCATTGAAGAAATCGGAAACAAGAATTCACCTAGCGAGATATATCACACAAAACGGCTCTATGTACTCGTTTGTCCTCGCGTATGTGACTCTGTGTGCCGTCCGCGCCTAGCAAATTTATATGGAAATTCACCGAATTCGTTCTATATCAGCGCTCTCTTTCTCCGCAATGGCTCAAGCTCTGTCTCTATACGCAGATCCGTATCGATCATAATACTGTCGTAACGATCATAGCAACGCGAAATTTCTCTTTACGCGTACTGCGAAATCAAATTTTCTATATCAAAAAATTGTCTATTAGATAATTTAGAAATGTCTCTCGATTAAACCAACGCATGTAGTTGAAATTATTTATAGAATTGAATAACAAATTGCAACAATAAGAACCAATCGTTTTTATCTAGATACTTTTCAAAATTAAAAAATCTAACGCGAAAAAATAATATGGAGGTAAGAGTAAAGGTAAGGGTAAGAGTGGCGAGCGGATGAAAGGAAAGAAAAATCTTGGATATGGAAAATAGATATCTCGAGTCCGGGCACCTGTCGACGACGCGAAGGAAATGGTATTCCCGATGATTCGTCGGTAAGAGCGGAACAATTCCGCGTCGTTTAAGAAAAAGAAAACTGACGGAAAGATTGGCGAAAAACAGAAATGGATCCCAAGGTGGATAGGAAAGAACGATAGAGGAATGGAGCGAAGAAATGATTGCGGGAGTAGGAGCGGGGACGAAATCTCGGTATATCGAGTTTTCATTTGGCGGATAATCAACGCCAATGACACCGATATCGAATCGGCGATATAATCATGCCGCGGGGCTAATCGGCTGAACTCTGACCTACAGCAACAGCCGGCGAGAGCTTTGCCATCCGGGAATCAAAACGATTCTCGGGCCGACGTGCCCCCGGGGCTTTTCGAATTTTGCTGTTGCGCGGTATTTGTGAAACTCGTTGCCAGGAAATAATTGTCGCTCGTTAAACGATCGATCATGTTAACGAACCTGTAACCCGCTTGTCGGGCAAAGACTGTCATCAGTTCATCGACGTAACAGCTTAAGCCACGGTCTATTTACGAAGCATATATTCAATAACGTTCTCAAATATGCCAATCATTTTGCCCGTGCTTTCAAAAAGTCGCTACAGTCTAAAGTCATGAATATGTCACATTCTAAAATCATTAATTCATTTTATGGCAAATTACTCATCAAGGAAGGACATGCAACTTTTATCTTTATATATCTATATTTTATCTATATATTTTCATCTATATATTTTTATCTATATATTTTTACTTTTATCTATATTTATAATATATCTATATTTATAATTTTATCGAAATCGAACTACATAAATCTTTCTTAAATTAGATTAGAATTCTGAAAATGATCGACAATAATAAATGTTCAACACAATCGAATGACAAATGCGACGTAATAATATAATCTTTTTCCCCAGTGTGTAATGATGCAGCATCGTGATGCATTTACACCTTTTATCGAGTGAATTAACCACTCCATTAAACTTTAATGGTATTCAGTTTTTACGCGTGAAATGTACACAGTACATATCGAATGTAGTTATTAACGTAGTGGCTATCTATCGTAACGCCATTATAATAATACCTGTTAATACGGCCATCGCGATCATCTAATTATAAGTTATTGCGTTATCAAAGTACGCTCTCCAATCAGATTACCCACCGTATTATTGGCATAGCAGGCAAATTTGTTTCTAAAATTCCGGCGGCTTATAGCAAATGTTCTACTACAATCGATTGTTCTACTACAATTGATTCGTCGTAACCCGATAGATACTTCACTTAAATGTGGAGGGAAACGTATAGCTATAACCCATGATTGTTGTCGAACATAATTATACGCAAAAAAATAATAAAAAGATCTCTAGTATATCAATTTTGTCGCAAATGTGAAAAAATGTGCTAATTACCAGCGAGAACAATAAAAATCCATTTCACGTTCGCACATAAAAACAATAGTAGCGCATACAATGATAAATAAAAATAATACGAAAGTTAAAAATGAGCAAGATTTGGTCGAAAGCAACATATTTTCTAATAGAATAAAACCAAAGGGAAATGATAATATTCCATGGTTGCCTTCTTAATGGAAGAAATGAGACACGCCCTTCTCGACACGAGAACGAGATTCCCGCATTAAAGTATTCTTACACGCGTTTGTATATGGGAACCAAGAAGCCGCATTAAATTATTTCTATCGATCGAACTGTCAGGAGCATTGTGTCCTGGTTGCGTTTACGTAACTTAAGTTTGAGCGATGGCGGCTTTAGGCTATCCAGCCAAGCGACCACGGTCGTGGCATGGCTCGTTCTTCGTTCTGCTATCGTTGCTGTCAATCGCAGGATTCTCAACGGTAGCCAACGGGATCGCATACAAAATATTACGCTCCCATTTTCCCTCATCTATCTCGACCCTGATTCCTAAAGGCGGAAGTGCAAACTCGCATCACAGATCTAACTTATATCTTTTACTCTGTATATGGAACTGAGATATAGTTATAATCAATAACAAGAAATACCATATGTTTCATATGGATACACACGCTTGTATACACAGACATAATATATATCTAGAAATGATAGAGCACATCTCCAAATACCTTGATACACTCCTACACAGAGAGAAAGACTTCTTTACATTTGGTATTTCTATGTATTTAACTCAAATACAAGTTTATATGAAACATTTGTTTTGTTTGAATAAAAATATTGTTGCTTCGTTGCATTAAATCATATATTTTTTGATTGAAAAAAACATAATTGTTTAAATTCGTTTCGATGAAATAATATTTTCTTTGATTATATTAAATATTGTTCAATGAAATAAAACATTAACTTGCAAGCAATATGCGGCATCGCCACCAAATGGACGCGGCGGAATTTTATTTCTCATAAATAAAAGATAGAGTATAGAGTATAGAGTATAAAGGATAGAGTAAAAGATGCGATATTATGAGACCACGGCTGCATTTAAGAAATACGACAGTTGTACAACAAGTTGAGTAATTCGTTAACATAATTGGTCTAAATTTAGGGATCTAACCAGAAAAACCAATAACACATGAGCGCTCGTCGATCGCTTGTTCCGCTGAACGCAGCTCATTTCAATCATTTTTAGTGAAGCAGATTTTTTTTTTCAAGACGAGTAAAAATGAATATTGCACCGAAATGCAATATCTCCAGATGGAAAATTCTAAGATGAAGCTAAATAAATGTCAATTTTCATAATATAATTATTAATTAAGATGATCAAAAAATTATAGATTAAGATAGAGATTAAGATTTTTTAGTCATTTTTTACACAACTTAGTGTCATCTAGAATTTTTATTATCATTACATATATTATTGAAATTATAATACGTCATGTGTGTGTGTGTGTGTGTGTGTGTGTGTGCGTGCGCGCGCGCGCGCGCGCGCGCGCGTGTGTGTGTGTGTGTGTGTGTTAAATTAAATGATACAATATTTCTACTGAAACTATTTAAATACTATTTAAATACTATTTAAATAAGTAATAACATTTTAAATAAAAAAAATATTCTCTTTCATGTAAAAATTTTATTATTTGAATAGTCAAACAATTATATTTGTTAATTTAAGCAATGAATTGGTTGGACTATTTCAAAGAATAAATTTCATTGGATTTAAGAAAATTTATTAAGTCTAAAGAAATATTTCTCTCTCATAGCAACTGTAAACACGCATAATGCTAGGATATCTCTTCATGCGGATGAAGTCCCATTCAAGTTTATTCGTGAATCTTGATGAATGAATTAATATCTCTGATTAATTATTAACAAAAATCACAAAAGCTAGAGGACTTTTCTATTTCGATATAACTTGTTTTACTTGTTCACAAAAGGTGCGTCACTAATTAGATCCTATTTGTGTTTTTTCATTATTCTGTGTAAAAAAATATTAAGATATGGTTATCAAAAATGAATAATTTACGAAATATATTTTGTATTTTTTTTACATCAGAATATGATAGAGAAAAGTATAACATATCTCGTAAACTACTGACTTATTGATAACTGTACTTTATAATGTACTTTTATATTCATAACAACTAAAGGAATTATATTATGTAACGAAAGTCATGTACAGTCCATATGTAATTAAAAAAAATGATGACTATAAAAAAATATCGACAGGAGTTCTATCTGCGAATGAATTAATATTAAAATAACGCGGCTTCGACGAAATCTTATAACTTTTGAAATCTTTTTCCATATTTTCGATATTTTTAAGATATTTGTTTGAGTCATTTAAAATATCCACCTTATATGTATGTGTACATATAGGTGTAACTAAAAGATACAATCAAACCTTGGAGGCACATTTCTCCCATCTAAAGTATGAAAATATAGACATTTTATAGACATAGACATAAATTCGGAAATGGTTTCTTGTAAAGATATTTTGAAAATTGTCAGAATAATCAAAAATCACAAATAATTCATAAGACCGTACTGTGAAAAACTGCAACACAATCCAAAATACTTCAGAGATAAATTAGCATATTCGAAAGTTAAAACAACGATAAGTTAAAGCTTGTATCCGTATCGATAGTAAACAGTTTGAATAGTTTTTATAAAATCCTAGCTATAAATATCTTATGAGACCACAGACTTTCTAATTTTCTAACATATGCTGTTCTATATTTCTTAATGTATTTTTGCTTTTAATAATCAAAATTATCAACAATAATAAACATCAATAAAAGTTATTGACAATGAATGACTTTATAAATAACAATAACAAATCTATAACCTATTTTGAATCTATGTTTATATAAAATGTTTTATATAAAATCTTGTAAGTATATAAGAAATATATTTCCCAAAGTTTGATCATATCTTACATCCTGTAACACGCACCGCACGCACACACGCGCGCGCGCGCGCGCGCACACACACACACACACACACACAGCGCGCGCAAATATTTTCTTACTTTGAATAATTAAATGTAACATTTTTAAATAACTAGCGTATTTTTCAATTATTTCGACATTTTTTTTATACACTTTCAGTAAATTTTGTAATTCAGCAAAGTTTTATATTTTTAACATTAATTAATGTAATGTAGAAACAATGAAAAAGATTAATATTGCAGATGTGCGTTTCATTTATCAAAGCTACATTGAACGATAAATTTGTATCTCCGAAATTCTCTCTTTAATGCTTCAATTCAAATGTGAGTTATATGAAAAGTGTAACATTATTAAATTTTGATTTACTCTTACTTCCCAATGCATACAAAGTTTAATTAATAAGTTTTTAAGAACGATTATTCAAAGACGAACATAATTGTACAATAATCTCTCATAGATCTAAAAGTCAAATATCGTTTAATCAACTGCATTCATGCAAAATACTTAAACAGAAAGGAAAGAGAAAAGATATCTATGACACAATTTTTAAAAGTAGCTCAATTGTTGGATAATTTTTTTTTTTGCTAAACTTAGATCGACTATATCTAAAGTATTCGCAAGTAGGTCACGGAATATTCGTGATCAATGTCCGTTTCAATGAAGAAGAGCAATTTTTCTTGGGAAAACTTTTCTATTCCCGTGGGAGCTTTTTTCGCTCGCGGAGACGATTATTTCACGATCCGAGTGTGCCACTTTATTTTAATCCCAAAAAATACTGCATAAATATTTGTTGTCTTACGAAGTATTCACATTCGCACAGTTTTACCAATTTATTCCCGACTGTATTCTTAATTGATCATACCTCACGAATTTATATCGCGATAGGCGAATCAAAATCAAATAGAGACATAGAGTAACGAATCAATAGATTTCGTGTCATTTCTCGTTTACGCTTAAAATGAAAAGATAATAAGATACACAATGCATTCACCTGTATAAAGAGCCACGAGGTGACTAGCGCTAAACTGCTGTACTGTCCATTAAATCGATAGTGGTACGCATAGAAAGAGAAGTGATATAAGTAGAAGAATCTGAAACAAACAGCATGTACGATTCGTTACATGTAGAAAGACATATCATCTGAAATGAAAAGTAGCAATGTAGTATTAATTTTAAAATTAATAATGAAACACGAACTTTGGTATCGCTCAGACTCAGAGTGATAATCGTTATCACGAATACACATCACAATGACATGAATAAATAGCGAATTAAAGCGCCGCAATAAAAATGTAAAATTACGAAATGCAGTGGGATTTATCCGCCGATGTACACCGATAATCTCTAAAATCCGTAACAACATCAAGCCACTTAACAGGTTACATAACGTAACGATATACGTGGCACGTTCCCACCCCGTGGCAACAATATGGACGAACTATCGATCAGATCATATCGAGTTTCAACCTATTGAAATATCGAGGGTGACGCGTTGCGCGGCTAGCGGCTATGCGCGCCGTTATTACATCCGAAAAAAATATCGTAGGTAACGTAATATACGTTATCGAGATATAGTGACACGCGCAATTCTCATAAAAAGTAAAATAAAAACTGTCGAATGTTGCAAACAATTTTTCGACCAGTATGCAAGCATGAATACAGTATCGGTACTTCTTAAGTAATCGATTGTGAGTGATTAGTTCTTCTTGCGAATTAATCAGTTTCATATTGTTTACCAAGATTCATCAGATTCATCAGATAGATAAAACGAAGGTAACATTCAAATTTCTTTATAAGATTTCTAACTAATCGTATGATGCAATTAAAAGGTATTTAAACTTATTAACTTTTCAATCTTTTGTAGTCCTAAAAATTATAAAATTACTCTTTCATCGCAACATTGAAGCTAAATCCATCTTTTACGATAGATAAAACGTCTAGTATTTACTTTCCATCTCTTAATCTTCTCTTAATTAAATTATTTGTTACGCTATTTCCTAAGCCGCTTTTCAGTCACAAAGCAAAGAAGATTCCTTTTTCGTGATCATTTTTTTACATACTTGTCAACCAGACTATTTGCCAGATTCGCCCAATTATTAAATTCAACTATAAGCAATTATTTCGGAAGTTAAAAAATACAGAAGTTAAATTGAAAAATTCATCATTTGTTAGGATTACAATTACGTAAGAATAAAATAAATTTTATTCGCTACTTCGCTATTTTCATATTCTAAATAAAAAGAAGCGCAAGCATATCTATTTTTCATTGCAAATCTCCGCTGATGAACGCCGTTTGGATGATGAAGGAAGGGATTGTAATCAAGTGATTTTTATGAGGAGCTGTTACGGGATCGCCAATATTTACGGATCAAGGCGGAGTTGAGGCAATGCCATCTTCCTTAACGAAGAAAGAAAAGCGACCAGCAGAGGTGTGGTGAAGAATGATAGAAGAAGAAGAAGTTCGGATTTTTAGGTATATCCCTTCAATGAATACGACGACTAATTTTCTAGAGTATATGACGAACTTTTAGCGTCTGAATCAATTCGTATATTGGATTCGTGTATCATAAATTATTACGATATATCTATTAAATAATATGTACTTTACATTTGTAAACATGAAAACATTCTTGCGATACGAATATGTATCGCTTAACGCTATCAGAAAGATTACAAACAGATTATTATCATAGAAAGAATTAATAGTACATAATCAAGTTAAATTAGATTTATAATAATGTACAAAATTCCCCAGTGTAATGTAACAGGAAGATAAGAAAAGATAAAAAATAATTAGCAATCGTAATAAGATGTTCAGCAATAATTAAGAAGGTAGTTAGATAACATACGCACGCGTCCATGCATCCACGAAATTTAATAAAAAGCGTCAAGATTCGCATATATTTCAACAAAATATATATAATACAGTTAAAAATTGAGAATCTCTGTTTCTAAATCGCGATAAAATCACTTATGTTTAAACAGTACATACATAGAATGCATTTGTGCATCCGAAATCTTACGATGTATAAATTTATATACGGCGGGCGTTGGTTCGTAAACGTTTTGCATTACGTTTTACGACACTGCCAGTCGTAAAGCACAGTTTAGGCGGTCGATGCATCCCATTTTCGTTTGCGACGACACAATCCAGACAAACATCCAATAAAACCCGACCACGGGGTTTTGTTGAAATCAGAAAAGATCAACGAAATATCATTAAAGCCTTGCTTTCTTTTATTAATATAAATTAGAATCATTATTTATCATTGAAAATGTTTAAGTTAAACATTCGTTATTTTTCAATGTAATGTTAATAAAAAATATATTATTACATTTATATGATAGAATATTAATCATCAGGCAATTCATCTAACTCACACACAATAATAAACGGCTTAATTAATTAAAAATCTATAATTTTCATGACACAAAAATTATCCGAAATATAGTGATAAATTGTCTAAAAGATTGCGTTTATATAAAAAAGAAAGATGATTTTAATGCCTAAAATAGTTGAAAGAATCGCGACAAAATAAAAGATGGAATGAAGGAGGATTGGCAGAGGGATGAGAAAGAATGCGCCACCGAAATCCTATGTTACGTATTCCGGGGACATAAGCTCTAAAGTGTCCCACACATTCATTCGGGAACCGCAACCATCCAAGGACGATTCATATGTCTTTTCTATTCGAAAAAGGGGTGAGCAAAGAAGGAGCTGGAGACTCTCCAAACGCATTCTGAATTCATTGAATAGTGCTACTCCACCGAAGAATTGCAGAGGTTATTTTTGGACTTCAAGCAAACTTTGGACTCCAACAAGTTCTAAGCAAATCGTCCAGTGCAATCGACGACCTTTTTGTACTACATACGTAATCATAATTCCAATTAATGGCGGAAATCGTGATAATAATTATCATTCGATTGCAATTCGATTAATAGCACGAATTGATAGCACGAAATCGCTTTATCGATTATCGTATTCACTGTAATGATGTATTAGCATTTGCATTATACATTGCTAAAAATAAAATCTTTTACTACTGGATATTTATAGAAAATCTATTACATAAAAATATATGTGTATTTAAAGAAGATGAATATTTTAATAAATTTCTTTAAATATTTAATACATACAGAAAAAATGGTTTACGTTTATGTCTTTGCTGTAAATGTGACGTACACAAAAAAAGAACAGTTACCTTCGAAAATTCACGTCATAGTTCGGAATGGTCATAAATTTATGCTTATTATAGCTTCTTTACATCGCAAATCGCAAATACTAAAGAATATTCTCTAGGGCATACTCCATCTTATCCTTGCTTTTAGCCAAATGCAGTTCGTAACAATCAGCTTTGGCATACACAGATTTACAATGTGAGAAATACCGAAGATAGTATCCAAAAAGGGGATATGGAAAAAATCCAATAAATATTACATTTCAAAAATCGCATTCTAATTAAAAAAAGATTAATAAATAATCAGATTAATATGTATTAATCCTAACCGTTATTAATTTATACACATCTTGTAATTATCTTGTAATTATAGTTACAGTGATACTGACAAATATTATAAATAATACAATTAAATTGTTTTTATCATCACAAGTTCTAGTAAATTAAGCTTGTAACAAAACAAAATAATTTGATGTAAGTAAGGTAAGCTATTTTTATATAAAAATTTTAGATCAATACTGTTGTGTTTAACACACCGCCCGGGAAAAAAAGTTTATATTTAATTATATATAATTTTGTAGATCTAATTATGTATGGATTTTGACCTAATCTAATTATATATAAATAGATAAAATTGTTTATGATTATATATGAACAGATCAAATTATGCATACTTATAACGACAAAATTACGGTTGCGTTTCGATATTGACTGTTAGTACTGAAAATCTATAATATATGTGACATAAAATACCCTTACAGAAAATAAGTGAAAAAAAAAATGAAAAAATGAAAAATATGAGAGAAAGTGATGAAACATTTTTTATCTCGTATTGTCGCATGTTTCTAAAACCGATCATCCATCCATTTGGAGATCCTGCTCGATGCTGCTTAACCTATTGGGATGAAAGCTGCTACTGAAATGATTAAATAAGTGATTACGGGATGTCTGCTTAAAATATGATAGATCTGGTTAATGAATGTTACTATATTGTATAAATATAGTCGCAATTTTAAAATCTCGATTGCATATGTAATTCTTGTAGATAATTTAATTACATGTATAGAGCCCTGAACCTATATTATGTTTAATATGAATCATTATTGTTACGAAAATGTTTATAAATTGTTGTATATATTTGTTGTATATATTTTATTTACTTGTTAATGAATTTGTTAATAACTTTATTAAGTGTCTGGGAAATATTTTTCTTATTTAGTTATATTATAGTTAATTAAGAAAAATGATTAATAATGTTATTTCAATATTTATTCATTAAAAATGACTTAAAAATGACGATATATTTATAACGATAATATT